TCCCAGCACCCACATGGCAGCTCACAACTGTCTGTAACTCTTGTTCCAGGGGATCCGACACTCTCACATAGCCATGCACACAGTCAAAACACCAATGTACATCAAATAAAAATAAATAAGAAAAATTTTTTAAAAAAGGTTGTATACTTCAAGGACACAGATATCCGATTCTACCCTGTAGCCAAATGACCACGTTCAGTTCTGGTCCAGTTTTCTGTGTCTCCTCTCCTAAGAAATGTCAGAGTTCAAGGGAACTGGGAGGCTGAACAGTCAGAACTGCCAGTGTTAGGATTTGGGGATGGATTTGAAACAGTGAAAGCTGCATTAAAGCTCTCTGTGAAAGACGTTCCGACAAGCCCACCACTAAACTGGGATGGTCAGGCCTAGAAAGGGGCTGGGCCCTCACACCTTCCGCACAGCCTCCACTTACCTCGTCCTGGGGGTCTGGCCCTCATGCTGACTCTTCATATGTGGTATCACTTTCAATACACACTAAGAATTGGAGCTCCACAGTGACATCACAGCTTGACTATTATGATGCGACAAGGAAGCATGTGACTAGGCTCCAGCGAGTGCTGGTGTTCTGAGTCGCATGGAAAGAGGGTCACCCAGGAACGAAACGAGGCCTTGCTGGCAGCAGGGAGATCCAGCCTCTGCGGCCTGAATCTTGAACAGCCATACAAAGGCATACTTATGCTGTTTTAAAATCTCAGTCATTCCATTTTACCAACAAAGACTCAGGAGCCAGACGCTGGGGTGAGAGCCTGCTAGCTCAGAGAGGCAGAGAGAGCACCCAGCTGACCTTCCTCAGCAGATGTAGAAGGAATGCCCACTCTCCCACACAGTCTCAAACAATTTCCTTTAAACTGAATATCCCTTCCCTTCTACTTCCTGAGCATCTCTCTATCCTTCCTCCTGATTTCCTCTTTCCCTGTTTTTTTTTTTTCCTTAAAATGCTATGTTCACTTCCTGTCAACTGGTTCCTTGCTCTGCCTCTTGACCTATGGTTGATTTTATTTAATCCTGTTTACAGTATTCAAGCAGAAAGTGTGATCAAATATCCTGCAACGCTGTCACACAGAAGATTTTTTGTTTTTAGTAGAACAAGTTCCTCATACCAAAGCACCTGATCTAATCTATATGTTTGGCGAAGAAAAACACCACACCTCCGTGCGCCCTGCAAGACACTCCAGGTGTGCTCGGACTGTTGCGGCCAGAATCACGTCAAGGCTGGGAAGCTCCTTCAGGAAAACTGTATAAATCACAGAAAACAAGCATCGCTCTCCACAATGAGTCCTTCAAGGTCTAGGCATACCTGCTCATTCTATATTTACCCTAGATACACTGAAAAACAACTGTTTCATTCTAATGTTTACCCTAGATCCGATGACTCTACTTATACCACAAACATGGGTCTGTTGACGTCTCATCCACTGTGGCTAACTGATTCCATTATTTTCTCATTCAGATGTGTGGGAACCAATTCTGTTGTTGATCCTTTTCAAGGACTTCTTCCCTTTATGATTTATTTCTGTCCATCCATTCTGGATTGAATGTCCTTTTTTCCTTCGTTACATTGTTCCTACTTTACTTCAGGGTTACCTTTGATTATCATGGAAAAATTCACTCTTCCACTGCCTAAGGATCGGGATGTAACTTAGAGAACCCCAAAACGATGAAGCATCCTGACATGAGAGGAAATAGCTTTTCCCAAGCTGTTGTTTTTGGCTGCACCAACAGCTAGTTCTGGGTGCCACGCAGCGAGAGCTTGGCCCTCCAAACTTTCCCACTATGCAGATGATAAAAGGACCTTATTGGGATATCTTGGGTCAGAGTTGCCAACCCCTCTGTACCTCTTTCTTGCCTAGCTTTTACATGGTCAAAGGACTCCAGTGTGGGTGGTAAAGGTACTATGTTGGATAGTTTTATGTCAGCTTGACACAGTTAAAGTCATGTGAGAGGAAGGAACCTCAATTTAAGAAAATGCCTTCTGGCCAGGTGGTAGTGCCTGCCTTTATCCCAGCACTTAGCAGTGAGAGACAGGTGGATCTCTGAATTGGAGGCCAGCCTGGTCTACAGAGTTCCAGGACAGCCAAGACTATACAGAGAAACTCTGTCTCAAAAAAAAAAAAAAAAAAGAAAACAAAACAAGCAAAAAGGGAGAGAGGGAGGGAGGGAGGGAAGCAGGGAGGGAGGAAAAAGAGAAGAAAATGCCCCTGTAAGATCAGGCTATAGCAAACCTGTAGTCACTGAAGAGGCCCCAGCCAATGCAGATGCTGCCCTCCGCAGGCCGGGGGTCCTGGACTCTCTAAGAAAGCGGCTGAGCAAGCTAAGAGGAGCAAGCCAGCAAGCAGCACCCCTCCATGCCTCTGCATCAGCTCCTGCCACCAGGTTCCTTCCCAGTCAGTTTGAATTCCTGTCCTGACTTCCTCTGATGGTAAACAGTGATGTGGAAGTGTAAGCTGGATAAACCCTTTCCTCCCCAACTTGCCTTTTGGTCATGGGGTTTCACTGCAGCAAGAGAAGCTCTGACTAAGGTACTTGCAGCAAAACCTAAAGAGCCGAGTTCTATCCCCAGGACCCACATAGTGAAAGGAAAAAAGCTGACTCCCCAAATTATCCTCCAACTTCCACAAGTGGAATAAAAATTAAATAATAACTAGGTACGTTGGTTCAAGCATGTCATCCAGGAAGAGGTAGAATTATGAGTTCAAGATCAGCCTGGGTTACACAGGACCTGGCCAGCCAGAGCAATATAACAGGAGTATCTCAAAAAACTATACAAACAAAAACAAAAAATGAGGTGGGATTGGAGACATGGTTTCTTTGTGTAGCCCTAGATGTCCTGGAACTCGACCAGGCTGGCCTCAAACTCATAGAGATTCATCTAACTCTGCCTCCCAAGTGCTGGGATTATGGGAATAAAAGCAAGAGCCACCATCCACCCTGCTCGCCCTGATATTTAATTTTATTTCAAATACAGTTTTGCAGCTACTCGAGGAAGCTGAAGTGAGGTACAATACTAGCGGGCTTCGGGCTGGCACAATACACAAACTGCATGGAGGGGCTGGAGAGAACAGTTTGGGGAGGTCCACAGGACAAACTCAGAGAAATCCACCTGCCTCTGCTTCCTCAATGATGGGGTTAAAGGTGTGTGGCACCACGCCCAGTTTAGAAGAAACCTTTCCATCTTTGCCCTTGCTGTAACAGGAGGAGCCAAGCCAAGACCAAGCTTTGAAGCACACTGCTGCATTCTGACGCTACTGATGTCACTTCCCATTTCAGGACTCCCGTTCTCTGGAAAGGAACCTGAACCCAGAGGGCTCTAGAGACAAGGCTTCCATGTTTCCGACTGTGTGTGAATGGCAGGCACCAGGAGGCGCTCCCGACAAACACAAGCTAGAAGCAAGAATGTGAGAGTTGAGCCAGACAGGGTGGTGCATGCCTGTAATCCCAGCACTTGGGGAGGCAGCTGGCAGATCTCTGTGAGTTTGAGGCCAGCCTGGTCTAAAAAATGTGTCCAGGACAGCGAAGGCTACACAAAGAAACCCTGTCTTAAAAAAAAAGTGGGAGTTGAGTTGGAAGTTGAGGCAGTATAGGGCTTATTACGAAGGCACTGGACAAGTCTTCGTCCTAGCCCTGGGGGGGGGGGGGA